AGCATGTTTGGTGTGACGGGGATTCGAACCCGCGCAGCCTAAAAGTATACACACCTGGAGTTTCTCAATCATTCACCTCATTAAGCAAGCCCAATTAAGCAAATAAAAAGGGAAATCAGAGTTTTCAATATTTCTGTTTTTGCTCATAACCGACAGTTCAGACAAGTAACCAGACAAAAGCGTGTTTCTAAACACGTTACTTGTACGAATATTTCTAAAATATAATACAGTATAAAGTTATATTCATAAAAAAATGTTATAAAGAGGTTTCGTTTATTATAACCGCATATTACGCTAATAACTGGAGTAAGTTTTGATACACGTTGTTTTCATTTCACCCAATCTCTCGGTCATACGTAAAGCAAGCTACTTCGTGTAGTTCTGTTTACTGGCAGTAATCGTCACCGCGAGAACTGTGTGTATGAAAGAGAGAGTTTTTGTGGCACAAAGCTGTTACAGTGACTAATTATCACCGTGAGAATTGTGTGTGTGTTTTTATCGGAAAACCACATTGGACTATCAGCTGTGTCCGCCGAAGCTAATCCAATCCCTAATTTTAGCGTTGTAAATCCGTAGACTTACCGCTGTCCCACCGGGAATGCGCGCAAGAGATTTTTCCTTCGTAGCACAAAGCTGTTACAAGCAATAATTGTAACCGTGAGAATTGTGTGTATGAGAGAGAAAGATAAAGTAGTGTTGCGTCAGCGAGGTCAGGTGACTAGTATCACGCCACGTCCTTCTCTCGAACCTTTGTGAATTATTGGGAGACTACTAGATTGGGGGTAGTCTGGTATATATAAGATGGTCACAACGTGAACAGAGGTAATGAGTAATTGAACTGCAGTCAGAGAGAATATTGTTAAGCACGTGAGAAGTTCGTTGAGACTTATAGCGTTTGTTACAGAGCGACTGTTGAAGTTGAGTGTATCGTAAAGTTGTATTCGGAAAGAATAAACCGGTTTTATTTAAGAAAGGACTTTTGTCGCTAAAGTTTCGTCGGAACGAATTTACGGAAAAGTAATCAACCAACGAACAGAGACGTAACAGTAGGTTTTATTTTTTTTTACCGCAGAGTTGTTATGGGCAGTAAATGTCACTTTTTTTGCTGTAATGTAAAATCGCTGAGTGGGTTGCCTGAACTATGTCTACAGTGGGGATCGAACCCCAAATCTGAGCGTTATAGGTTACCACTGAGGCGCGAGAATTCACTAAGGCTGAAGAGGAGTTATTTCTATAATTAGTATTGTAAAAATTGTTTATAGCCGATAAAACTAAACATAAGTATATAAGAAATATTAAATAAACTGGAGATTATGAAGGACATTTTTATTATCATTACTAGAAGCCATGAAACAATAATGAAACAAAACTGTCGATAGCTTTAGCTTCAAGTTAAAATCCTTATGTTTCTCTTTCAATTGAGCGGAATAACGAATGACTATATGAGAAATATTCTTTCTTTAATATTTTGTAGTTTTTTTTTTGCACTTTTTAAAATCCATACACATTTAGACCTTTAACCCTTAAATTACTGACTTGCTTTAATACGCGCTTACTAGCGGTGGGGTCCACATATTGCATTATGTTGACTAGTTTTAAGTTTTTGACTTTTGGAACATTTAGAGTAAAATAGCTGATCAAAGCGATTTGGTGGAATCACTCATTTTCTTTGTAAAATACACACTACACTGTAATTTGTTCGCTTGGATGTTGATTTTGTCAGATGTTCTTTTTATCAAGCTTAATGTATTGGCAGTCATGGTTACTTCAAAGTATTAGTATTTGTAGATTAAACTCTAGCTTTTTGTGAATATAGATTATGTTGTTTATTTTCTTCTTTTAACCCTTAACTGGTAGAGTGTGGTCAGAATGACCCAAGTCGATTTTCCAACTTAGCTGGTGCTGCTCTCTATCTGATATTTTCTGTAATCTATCCTCACCCAGTTCTTGAGAGTTGAGCTGAGCAGATATGCTGTTGCAGTTTTATTTCTTACTGATCGTTTGTTTGTGGGCCATTTTGACCATACTAGTTGTGTGTTACTTTGTCTCTAGCATTATCGGCTTTTATATAAAAACATCAACATTTCAAGTATAACGTCTTTATTCTTGCCCTTTTAATTTGCTCGTAGTTATCAAGAGAGTTTTATACGTTTCTCCATCTTTTTTTCTTTTTCTTTTTGCTCAGCCTGTAAACTAGTTCATAATTAAGCTGCTTCGTTGAATAATTTTTTACATCGTTTATTAGTATGACTAATTACAATACTAATGGTACTGTTTTTTGTTTTTTTGTTATTAGAAACTCTATAACCGAAATATTCACGAAGATTCAACAATTTGCTGCGTAACTAGTTTATAAAAATATGTTTATGAACCTGATTTGGTCTGATAGTTTTTGTATTTTACTGTTTTTAGGTCTGATTAAAAAAGTGATCGTCTGCTAACACACAAATAATATATTAATTTAATAAGAAAAAAACAAAATAATTATAACAAGAGGTAACTTTCCGGTTAATACCAATAATTAATTTCACCGATGCGACAAAACATATAAGACAATACAGAATTTTAAAGGTTTAATTACAGAACAAATATAATAAAACTGATACAGTGTTAAAAAGTTTAAAATCAAAGTAGATTAAATAATTAACCTAAAACGGTTAAATTATAAACCTTTTAAAATATATGCTTTTAAATACCTTTTAAAAGTATATATAATATTAGCCTTTTTTATACATTTAATACTGTCGAGTTTGTCAACAACTTAGCTGTATCTTTTTCCTACTTTTTGATCCAACAAAAAAATAGTTTAACTTTCAGAAGGTTACGAAACAAATCAGTTAGGAGTTTAAGAAAAAAAAAATGTTGCAGTTTTGATTAAAAAAAAATCCAACAAATTATTAATCTCACCCTCCTTAAAATCCTTTATAATTTTTGTGTATAAATTCCTAGGTTCTTTTGTGTAATAATAACAAAATAACAACACTAAATAGGAAAGCTTATATAAAGTTTAATTCTCACCTGTTCATACAAATGAGTCAACATTACAAACAGTGGATATAGTCATACCACACAACAATAAAATGTATGCAGACCAGTTTGTTGGTTTTAAAATTTCTGATTAGGTCAGGAATTAGGACACATTTTTTACCTTCAATATAAAGGAAGTTAAACTTAAATAAGAAGCTTTTATTTTTCTTCTGTAAATATCAACATGATTTTGAAACGATACTTTTTAACTGTATGCCTGAGGAGCTGACGACAGCAACCGAACCATCCCTCTTTTAGTAAAAAAAAATTACAACTAAATTTCGCTATAAAATTACTCTGCATAGAATAACAAATAACGTCAATTCGTGTAGGATTTGTCACAATCAGCAGATCTTTTTTCTCCTTTTTTCATTTTATTTTGTAATGTGAGAACAAAATCACTTGGCACACAGACAAAATATATTTCAAAATGACTACATATCATTTGTTATGATATTTAAAAATACAGTCATTATAACACCAAAAATTTAGATATAAATATTCTGCACATTTATGAAAAAATAGTAATAGAAATAGGCTTTTCTTCTGCTAAAAAGGGACGGTTGAATTCACAGAAATAAAATTATTCATAAAAAAAAAATGCTATGAGAATACACAAAGCAAGTTTAGGCTCTATTTTCAGTGTGAAAATAACTAGATCTATCACCAGTATATATGCGCTTCCTGCAGTATAATTTATCCCTCCACCAAATGTGTTTCTTCTTTACGATATAAAGATTTGTTTTTTCATTGCGCTCTCTTATTCTTTAAAAATTATTGTAGATAGCTTAAAAGGTACAAAACTAGGAAATTGTTTTAAAGACAACCAGATTATTGCGAAACAGTTGTTTATTTATCGGTTACTTTTAACAATATTATGGTAATGCAAATTAGAAATTATAAATCAAAGTATTAATTTTATGTTTTAGATTTCGCATAAACTTAACAACGATATTTTAGGAATTTCAGTTTCGAACTTAATATTTGACATTCTTTACTATTTGCTGATGTTTTTTTTTTTTCAAGTTTTAATAATTATCATATTTTACTCCGGCATACTGCTGAGAATTTCCACTACCAGAAGGTGACCCGTAGGAATTTCCTTGCTGATAAGTAGCACCAGAATCTGAGCTGGAAGCACGACGGGTGTTTGGAACCCGTTGAAAATCTGCAGGTGGTTCAGGAAAATTTCCGTACTGTCCTGATGATGAAGATGGTTTGTAGCTTCCAACATTGTAAGGCTTTTGTGGAGATGGGGCAGTTCTAGGAGGAGCTCGTCTAGCTGGAGAAGATTGACGAGGTGGATCATAAGAAGCGGGCCCTCTAGGAGGTGGAGACTGAGCAGGAGGTCGTTCTTGTTCGTATTGGGTGGATGCGGGTGCGCTACTATAATCATAATCTGCATACCCTTGGGCTTCTGGGGCTGAATGTACTTGTTGGGGTGCAGGATGCGGGGGTGCTCGACCCCCATATAAGAACTTTTCCGGATAATACCTTTGGTGGTACCGAAGAGTATTGTTAGGCCCTTTCTCTTCAAGAGGCTGAAAACAATGTTAATATTTTGTTTAGTTTGGAGATCATGTTTCACTGAATATAGCCAATATTGTAAAATTTCTTACTGATCCAAAACAACAAGTTAAACATTCTTGTAGGTTTTCATTAATAGTTTTCAGATGCCTAAGGTAGAAGGTATTTATATAGTATTTAATTTCATCAAATATAGAAATGTGAATGTGAAATATATCTTATAAAAACGCACGTTCCGCAATTTAACGTTTCATTGCAGCCTTTTCATTTTAAGCTTACGAACAGGTTTATGTCTAACCCTTCCATGACTTCTAAGCGTGTATATATATATATATCTTTTTTTTTCAGATTCATTAGTTACATTAATATTTGGTAGGTGGTCACAAGATTACTTCATTATAGAACTGAGACAAATATACAGTAAGAAATATTTTGTTTATTTGTTGAATTTTGCACAAAGCTACTTGAGAGCTTAACTGTCGTCCCTAATTTTGAAGTGATAGACTAGAGGGAAGGCAGCTAGTTAGCACCAACTATCATCAGTTCTTGGGCTACTCTTCCTACGAATAGTGGGATTGACCGTAACTTTATAACGTTTCTATGGCTGAAAGGGCGAGTACATTCGATGAAGTGATTCGATTCCGCCACCTGCAGATTGTGCCACTAAACACTAGGCCATGCAAGACCCAGTGAGAAAGAGCTGCAGATGTAAGACTATTCATCATACCAGAAGCAAGATGCCATTATTCATTTAACAAGATGCTAAAAACTGAAAAAAAGCCGAAAGCTTACGAAAATACTAGTTAATTGTGTATGTCTAATTGGAAATTATTATATTGCCAAAACGATTTATATACAGTAAATTTGCACAGTATGATAAAACACTAGATGTGCTTTCAAATAATATTTTTAGTTTCAACTGTGAATTTTAAATAGTAATTTTAAGAGTTCGATAGATCACTAGATTGTATTTTACGACGAGAAAATTTTAAATTTAACTATGTTTGTTTTTGAATTTTGCGCAAAGCTACACGAGGGCTATCTGCGCTAGCCGTCCCTAATTTAGCAGTGTAAGGGAAAGCAGCTAGTCATCACCACCCACCGCCAACTCTTGGGCTACTCTTTTACCAACAAAAAGTGGGATTGACCGTCACATTATAACACCCCCACGGCAGAAAGGGCGAGCATGTTTGGTGTGACGGTGATTCGAACCCGCGACCCGCAGATTGCGAGTCGAGCGCCCTACCCACCTGGCCATGCCGGCCTTTTTTTAAACTGTGAATTTCTCAATGTATTTTTACTAGCATATGATGCCACACACACACTTTGTGCTTAATTACAAACAACAACATAACCAACAATTCTGAATTGTCGATGTTTTTCTTCTTGCATTTGCTATTTAAAAATTCACAGTGGAGTCCTTGAGGCTAAGTTAATAATATAAGTCCCCCGATGGAACAGCGATAAATCTATGGACTTACAACGCTAAAATCCGGGGTTCAAATCCCTACGATGGACACAGCTGATAGCTCGTGGCTTTGTTCTAAAACAAATAAAACAAATAATATAAACATAAACGTCTTATATTAATAATAGTAATGTAGGTGCTAACAGACAGAACTAATAACGTTACCTTGTAGAGATAATCATTAACCAAATGGTACTTTTCAGATTGAGAGCAGATGTCCTGGCTGGAGGGTACACAGTTTAAGTGGACTTGGTGAAACACGGTACCCTTTGGACACAACCACGAGTGCTTGGAACCCCCCACACAGTAGTGAAACACTTTACAGTTAACACTGTCATCAGCATAGTAGCCATCATGCTTATCAGAACATCCAAACTTGGAGTTACCTAACAATACCGACAAAGGATCGGGAGTAGTTGGTTCTTCCTCTTGCGGAACTCTGCCTCTCAAAGATTGTTGAGAAGGCTTTCGTACCTAATATGAAGAAGAATAAAAACGGTAAGCAGTCTGTCTGGTTCTTGACAGAGGAATCAAACTGTGTCTTAATGATGAGAAGAAAGTAGAGAACATTTTTGATTGTTGAGAGAAGACGTCGTTCTGAACAATTGCAGTCACGCAAGACGACTCCTGTTACTTCTCTCACCCAAAACGATTTCTGTTACTTCTCTCAGCATTCTCTTAAATAAAGATCTACCTAAAAGTTCCTACAGAATTACAGATCTATTTAAAGAGATACAAGTGTTTAATAGTGTGTTGCAGTTGGTATATACTGTCTCCTCAGTTTCTTTCGTAATAAGTTCAACATGCCTTAATATTTTTTTCCTATTACACTTTTATAGGAAATAAATGTTACTTAAATTACATAAAATGCATACATATAAGGTGCTAATATGTATTTTTGTTTTTCATTAGAGTTCAAATTCTTCCTATCAATGGATTTTGTTTATATAGCATTACAGAGTATGTAAAACAACAACAACAAAAAGAAACAGCTTTACAGGTGGACTTTTGTCTTGCTTGGTTTGATAAAATAGTTTCTGAGCTATAATAAATAAAAAATATTCATTATAATTTTTGCAGAGTCAAAGACCAATGGTTTTCATTTGTGCTTTCATAGTAAAGTTAAGTGCGTCAACATTGTATTCTTCCCTTTCATAGTAAAGTTAAGAGCGTCAACATTGTATTCTTCTGTGCTTTCATAGTAAAGTTAAGTGCGTCAACACTGTATTATTCCCTTTCATAGTAAAATTAAGTGCGTCAACATTGTATTCTTCTGTGCTTTCATAGTAAAGTTAAGTGCATCAACATTGTGTTATTCCCTTTCATAGTAAAATTAAGTGCGTCAACGTTGTATTCTTTCCTTTCATAGTAAAGTTAAGTGCGTCAACACTGTATTCTTCCCTTTTATAGTAAAGTTAAGTGCGTCAAGATTGTATTCTTCTGTGCTTTCATAGTAAAGTTAAGTGCGTCAACATTGTATTCTCTGTAAGTGTTTTATTGAATTTATTAAAGTATGTATGTAAATATGAGACAGATAACTCGAGTATATAAATTATTTAAAGTTAAAGGTTCTGACATAATGGCCAGATCGCTCAGTTGTTTCTCGATACATAACACAATAAAGAAATAAAAAATTAGAATCACATAATACATATCGTTATTTACACGTTTTCGAAACAAGAAGAAATGTGTTATAAGTGGCAGAACAACATAAAGCACTGTTTCGAAACAAACTTTATTTCATAGCCGTCTCAGTGATATAATAAACGTACCTTAGGCCTACCACGAGATGAAGGTCTAGAATCAACTGGAGCGCCGCCTGATGGTGGTGGACGGTACTGCTGAATGGGTTTATTTTGATGTCCACCAGCTTGTGGGGGTGGATAGTTGACAGCATCTTGTGGGGGTGGATGTCTGACAACAGCTTGTGAGGGTGGATGTCTGACAGTACCTTGTGGAGGAGGGTATCTGACAGCATCTTGTGTTGGGTACCTAGATTGGCGTTTCACCTGTAAAGACCCAAACAATGAGCTTAAATTCTTAGCATACTAATGTGACTTACGAACTTTATATCAATCAGTCAGTAACTCGTTAAGATCTTCGAGATACGCACGCACGCGCGGACACACACACATTCACAGAGATACACGTATATATATATATATACTAAGAATATTAAAATATGTTTGTGTATATTGCACAAATTTTAGTTCCTTCCTGAAAATAGTAGTGATGTAAAAGCTGACAGAAAATGAAAAATGCATAATAAATATTGTTGGTATTTTAATTTCAAATGCTTTCAAAACTACGGATTTAGCATAAAAGTATTAAAATTTTGTTCCTTCATTTCAAATAATGCAAACTAAGTTAGAAAGTCTGTCTAAGAATTAAATACATAAGTTAAAAAAACCCTGTTTATATGTCAAACTTATATAGCATAATTGTTACAACCAAAACTTTCCCCAGACGAGACCATGAGATAAAACGTTGTGCAATTCTTTTTCTGAAGGTTTACATAAAATTTTCAATAAAGTCAACTAAATATATCCATATTTATAAATAAGGTGCTGTTAGTTACATTACATATATATATATATACATGTTCAAGATAGTATCAGAACTTGGTTTTGGAAACGATTACTTCTTAAGCTTCTATGCCATTTCCCTTCGTATATAAACTTGAAGATAACATAGTATTTTCTTTTTCGTTTTTGAAACTCAGATCGTCCTTAAATCGTCTAACAATATATGTTTCTTTTTCACATTTAAAACACAGTGTCTCTAGAATGTCTAACAATATACAAGGTGCCCCAAAATGCATATACCAAAAAGAAAGATGAATATTATTTGTATTATTTGAGATAATAACACAATTCAAAACAAAATATGTCTTCTGAAGGCTTTTAATTTATATTTAATTAAATTAATAAACTTTTACATGTCTTCCATCATTAGCTATAACAATCTAATTTTGCGTTCAAATTCTGAGAACACATTTTCCAACACATCTGAAAAAATGGATAAGACAGCATCACGAATACGAAGTTTCAGTTCCTCAAGATTCCTTGGTTTGTTATTGTAGACTTTTGTTTGAAAAAAAAAGGCCCAAAGATAAAAGACCAAATGGGTTAAATCGGGAGAACTTTAGATGAGTCGATAAAAAAGTCTCCATTTTCGAGTATAATGTTCAGTATATAATTATTCCATTAGCGCATCAACATTTGCACAGAAACACAAAGTATCTTGCATACTTTGATGGCGACTTCAGTAAATTGAAACACTTGTTCCTGTAGATAAAACTTCCATTGCTGTAAACGAGAGCAAAGAAGTTCTCCATACTGCTTTGATACAGTCACTAATCAGATCATTTAGCTCTTCTTGTGTGATCAGATTAGGCAGTTTATGTTGAGGTGCCACAGGAATAGACTTACTAGATGAATTTTGTTTGTGTGTGATTAAACACAAAGCTACACAATAGGCTATCTGTGCTCTGCCCACCACGGGTATCGAAACCCGGTTTCTAGCGTTGTAAATCCGCAGACATAACGCTGTGCCACGTGGGGGGGGGGGGCTTGCTAGCGTTGTTAGTCCGCAGACATACTACTGTTCCACTGTGGGGCTACTAGTTGAAGAGGATGAGTTCATTATACTCTTCGCAGGTTAACTCTTCTGTTTCTGGTGGATGTGGCACTAGAAGACCATCCCCAAGAGGTACTGGTTTCATTGCAGATGCAATATCTGGATATTTAATATATTGTTTAGATTTGCCTGAATATCCAGAAATATTAGTCATGCAAAAATAATAGTTAGTTAGATAGATCTTTGGGCTCACGCCATCTCATGGGAACTGTAAATGGCAAATCTTGCTCTCTTCTTATTCAGCCACTGCGTCGAGCCAGATGTGCAAACTGAACAAAACAGATGTGGAGCCCAATGTTTTTCATGGTCACCAATTTTACACCCAAAATAATGGTATTAAGCTAACTTCACCTTGTGCGTAATGTTTTTCCTTCGTGAAACTGTAATATAATGTAACAGAAACTGTTTGGATGAGTTTCGCACTTTCGGACCTTACTTGAACTGGAAGCAGCCAGCATTTCAAATGATTTTCTAAAAAATGAAAGAACTTATGTTTATAGAACTAGAATGTGAAAGATTTTAAAACAAAGTTTTCAGAATTTGATTATATTGTGGGTATGATGCGAGGAAGAACATTGGACTTTGTTTTGACTGTGCACGGAGCGAGGCGAAGTGACCAACTGAGTGACTCCGCCCCATTTATGCTCAGCTGAGGGACTTCTCGAATGTTCTAGTAAACTGAGTACGTGGGGGTTTCGTGATTTTCGGGCGGAGCAGGTGAGCATGGGAATGAAGCAAAAGTGGTGCAATTCTCTACAATTATATCGAGAACAAATAGCATATATGAACAATATATTGAGAATTTTACACCAGTACAATACAGTCATTGTTTGAAGTTATCAAAAATTTATGCCTCCTTTTCACATTAAACTGTCCAAGTAAACATAATTTCACGTGAGTTTATTGCATGATATTTCACATAGTGCTGATAAAATATTGAGATATTACAATAACTCGAAATCTAAAGGCGATGAACAAATTCTGACTACATTTTCGACATCATCACCATCAAATTACCCCGAATCACTTGTGTTTTCTCCAGTAACAAACTTTTGTTGTCCAGTGTTATGTAAGTAATAAAGTTAATAACTAATTTAAATAAAACTTACAAGCCTTCAGAAAATATTTTGTTTTGAATTTTGTTGTCATCTTAAGTAATAAAGTTTTTCAACTTGCTTTTTGGTACATTAATTTTGGGACAGCTTGTATTTTTTTTCACATTTAAAATACAGTCGTTCTTAGAACGTCTAACAATACATTATATAAGAAAAGCAATTCCTTACCCTCTCCTCGGCAGCTACAAAAGCCCCTACAAAAATAAAAATAAGTCATAAAAACTTCTATTCAGATTTGTTCTCATTAAATGTGAGAGAAGAAAAACTGACATATAAATTCCTCCAGGAGAAGCACTTCTTATGATATATTGAACTTAGACTATATAATAACAAAAATAATATATAATCAAATCAAAACTGGAAATTTTCATTCTAATTAAACCACCATAATGACGTCATTATTTGGATGCAACTTTTATCCCGTCAGTAATACGAAACATGTTTTTAGGTTATTTTCGTAATACTTGTGGTTTAAAAGTAAATACAAGTAATATCATTGGGCCTATTTTGATGCAATGGAGGGGCTGAGATATGACGGAAATCAGGTAAAAAATACAAGTAAGTTCAATGTGAAAATTAAACGTTTAATAACCAACTTATATGATATTTTATCTCTATCTGCCAAATTTTGTAATATTTACCTGTTTATAGTGACTCACTATTTTGAACTAAGAAGTTTATTTAAGTTAGGAAAACACAAACCTATCGAAATTAGTGAAGGGGGGGCGAAGTAGATACCGATCTCTCTGTATTGAAGATGGAACCCACTCTGTTCCAATATCTACGACTGGCAACTTTAAAATCAATGACTTAGAACTGTCTTGTTACTTAAGTTGATAATAACTGTACACTGAAAATCGGATCTCACAAACAATCAAATTCAAACAAACACACATAAAGAATCTAAACTGGTTACAAGAACTTCAATATTAACATTTCAACACAACGATGAAGAAATCGCCCAACTTTGATACGCATGCAAAAACAGAGTCAATGTAGGATACGTATTTACTTACTTTTAGCTTTTAGAAAAGTCTTCGAAAATATAGTCAGGAACAAATGAAAATCGTACTCTAAACTTTATAAATAACAAATATCTTAATGATGGCACTAACAGACGATAAAGACAATCTAACCATTCTACTGATCCAGACCTAGCAAAAAATATCATTACAGCTTAAAAGAACCAAAAATGTATCTCAAATATATCCGACGAGCAACCAAAAGATTAGAAACTGTAAAATCATTTATACTGAAATCAAAGCAAGTCTTTACATAAATATATCCTTCAATTTTGTTGTTGTTAAAAACCGTGTTTAACGAATAAATTCAATGACTAAGTCTACTTTGCGTTTAAACACCCCTAGTTATCTCTTCGGCCATCACTCAGCAAACTATTGATGGAGCAGTGCAAAGAAGGTGTCATACAAAAAAGACCAAACCTAAATGTAGCTAAAAAAAGAAAGAAATAGCTGTTGATTTCATAAGTTATCGAAATCGCCAGTTTTCCAATTCTTGTTGAAATATATAACAAAAACACACTATCCTTCCTGGATAACGAGAATAACAAAACAAAACATTGTTGAGGTCAAAATGTAGAGGAGATGAGAGGTAAGCATTTCGACTGTATAAAGAACAGAGTTAAAGGGTGTTCAGACTAAAATTGACACAAATAGCAACATATAAAAACCACACAGGAATAAAATATTTGTGTTACAATAACACATGTGAGCGCTGGTTATCAAATCAAATAACTGCACAAGGGCCAAATAAAAAGTATCAAAGAAGGAATAACTTGTGATGACAAAAATAATATACTCTTACTTAAAGGCATTTTGAAATTATTTCAGATATTTCGAAGGTAACATAAGAACTGGAAATTCCAATGCTATGAGATATTAAGGTCTTAACTACAGCACACAAACAGTACTTACCGATTAGTGTAATGATACACACTGACAACTTCATATCCGTTTTCTATCTGGAAGAAAATAAATCCAAGTCAACTGATAATCCTCTTAACATACAGAAATTCCTTTTGATAAATAACACACAGTCTTGGATAATGTATTTATCAGCTTCAGAGCTATCAGTGCTAAACTGGATGAAATATTTAGTCAGCTTCAGAACAATCAGTGTTGATCTGGTTAATATTTTCAATCAGTTTCAGAGCAGTCAGTGCTGATCTGAAACAAATATTGTGTGGATAAAATATTGACGTTTTAGTTTGCGTCTCGTGTTTTATCAATAACTTAACCTGCCCTGTAACGAAGAACCAAACTGATTTCTGGTAGTAGAAGCGTGTAATGGTTACAAAAAGTTAAGATACAGAATCGTATGTCTTCTCAACATTCTCACTTCATGTTTCTCGCACGAAAACGTTCATTACAAAGATTATACTCCAGCGCTCTAAGAAGGCCAATCTCTTTTACTCTAAAGATATTACCGTTCTGCTCACCTTATATGAAGTGCCACGATCACATCGCGAATATCGCTTTTATGTGGCAACGTCATCTGTGTTTAACCTATTTCATTTAGTTCAGTTTCTTAAGTTGTTGTTTTTTTAAGTCACAGAACAGTTTTCACTCCTTCAACCTTCACCAGCCCCAACCATCGATATATGACAAGTTCTGGTAGACACCTGGACTCCGCCCTTTGTTCGGTCATGATTATGTGATTGGTAAGGGCAATACTTTAAAGTTATTGTGTTTTTTTCCCCAAGTTTTTCCCTTGCTCTCATTCCTCGTGTAACTTTACCTGTAACAGTTGTTTAAGAACATTTGCCTATATATATATATATATATATACATATATATATATTTCTGTAGTTCTAAATTGCAGAGTAATAAACAAAATTTGACCTCCATTTCAATGCGATTATCTTCTTACAAGAGAACCCCTTATGCCATTTGTTACACACTCGTGCTACGTGTACACTACTATAAAGGTTTCCCTTGTGCTATCCTGTTTCCTGTACACTTGTGCTACGCGTATACCAAACTATAAAGTTTCCCCTTGCGCCATATTGTTGCCCGCACACTTTTGCTACGTGTAGACCAAACTACAAAGGTTCCCCTTACACATGTTGTTGCTTACACACCGAACCATAAAAGTTTCCTTTGCGCCATATTTTTGCCGGTGCACTCGTGCTAAATGAATGCCAAAATACAAAGATTCCCCCTTGCACCGTATTGTGGCCCGTGCTAAATGTATACCATGAAAACAGTCGTGTCGAATCGCAGATTAAAACCAGAAAGGTTCTTGTTCTTAAAAGGTTTGATGTTTCTCCTCTAAGCGTTTCAGGATACATATACATTGAATTAATTGCAACAGAATTTAAACTGCAGATTCAGAATATGAGTGCCCCCCAGTGGCACAGCGGACTTACAACGCTAGAATCCGGGTTTCGATACCCGTGTTGGGCAGAGCACAGATAGCCCATTGTGTAGCTTTGTACTTAATTACAAACTAACAAACAGAGTATAAGTATATTTGCAGAAGTAAATAAACACAAACGTGCCAGTCATGTGCACTTCTTGTTAGATCTTCTTTATATATTGTTATTAAGAATACCGATATCAGTTGTAGATAGTTGTTTTTAGGGCAAAGCTATACAATGAACTTCCTTTTAGCGTTTTAAGTCCGTGAAATTACTGCTCACTCAAACAGGGAACTAAATTGTATATATAAGTATTTCGATACAGTAGAGAACAATCATTATTCAAAAAATAAGGTATATGAAAATGTTTTATTCAATACTCAAAACATAAAGTATATGGAAATGTTTTACTCAATACTAAAATTTTGACACTCGAGTAAGGATAACAAACAAACAAGGGTATTATGTTTCTTATATGTGTGCACATTATATGTGAATTAACTGTGCAAGGGCGAAACAGAAGGCACCAAAAAATAAATATTTTATAATAATTTGTTGATAACTAATATAACATACTATTACTAAAAAGGGCCATGTCGGAAACCCCTTAGGGCTCAAGTATAGCCTTTTCTAATTTTGAGTTATTAACCAGAGGGCAAGTAATCAGTCAGCACCAATTGCCGCCACATGGCATTTGTGCGACTTAGAACTGATTAACAGGATTAACTATCACTCTTATAATACACTCGCAGATAAAAGTGAAGAACATTTTCAGCGGCATCTTGATGAGAAGTTTGAGCTTCCGTAACGCAGCCCTGTAAGCTAAACACTAAACCTTTTATTTAATTAAAGTTTACGGTTATATATTTTTTGTTTTCTCCACATTGAAATTGTTCTTCAGTTTAACTTAGAAGCTATTAGAGCCATCATGAAGGATTAATACTTTCGTTGATAAGACAAATTGTAGAAATCGCACAACCGTCTTAAAAATAATTAATGTATTCACAAAGAATTCTCATGTTCTGTAAACAAAGCATGGAGTTATGGATGCAATGACTAAGCCATGGAAACGTAAGCATGTGCCCCTCACCCAGTGGCACAGCGGCTTCTCTGTGGAGTTACAACGCTAGAAACCCGTGGTGGGCAGAGCACAGACAGCCCTTTGTGTAGCTTTGTGCTTGACTATAAACAAACGTAAGCATATATCATGCAAATATATTCTTTAAAAGGTTTTCTTAAGTTCAGATAAGAACGCAAATACGTATTCTGAGTTAATATACAGAATACAGACTCAATAGCTCATTCGACTGAAGGAACTAGTTTTGAAGGTATACCTGAAGGTCTGTGTGTAGTGCCTAACACTGATGTTGAAAAACCGGTTTAAATTGAAAACTACTTGTTCGCTGTGACTAAATATTCGAGTTATTTTTAATATTTTTTTGTGAATTGTAAAGGAGACGCCCTCTTTGTAGTTTTTCAATATCCTGGAATGACTGAATTCAGATAGAATATAGAAAAATCAAAATAGATTCCGACGTAAAAATATCGTCTGCTCTCGTATATTGTGTTGGGCTTAACTGCTGCACGTGCATTTTGTGGTTCATCCTCGAAATAGATAAATATATGAAACAATCTTTTGATAAATAATTCTGCTGATAAATAATTGTTCTTATCTAGGTTAAGACTGTTAAAATGTCAGATTATTACAGCTTCTAATTATTTTACCTGTGTAGTGCTCTTGTCTCCAAGAAAGCGAATTTCTCAGGAAAGAATTTTGGCTTTAATAATCACAATTATTTTCACACCTAGGCCATGTCAATCTTATATTTTTCATAATCAATTTATTTTTTTTGATAGGGGGCATCTATATCTATGGGAAGTGTATTATTTCTATATATTTATACGCCATTTCCTATTTGAAAGAGCAGAAAATGTTCGCAGCATGTTTTCTTGAGTTCAGTTAATTTGTGCTTACAGATATTTATGATAGGCCAAATAATATTATTTCAGCAGAGGCGCAGCGTCAATAGTGCTTACTAGTTCAAGCGCACCGCCAATTTTGAAATATTTTAGTGCTATAAACTACTGTACGAATATTTTTGTGCCTGTTCCCAAGATTTGTACCAATGTTCGAATGCTATGGTAGCATACTTCCATCGGTTTATTACAATTATGAAAGTTTTTATTATTTATATTTATGATACTACTAGTCATGCGCGTATTTTTTGGAATCCTCATTGGCTGAGGTAGTAGTCTTCCTATAATTTTTGCCCATGAAGAAGCTTCTTATCACCCCTAAACTTTTTTACTAAAGCAGTGAGTGACTCGATAAGCAGTCAATGCAAGCCACAAGAATAAGAGAAATTTAATTTTATACTTAATCCAATCTTTTGTTTCATCATGTACGACTTTTTGAAATTATACATTTGAATTTCGTGACATTTGTATTTTATTTACCGTCTTTGATCATTTACTCGGTAATGCTTTTATATTTTTTATTATTTAGAAAAGTTACGGTCTTTTATCCAAAGGATTTTTTTTCTCGCTTTTAACGTTTTCTTGAACAATGCAGAAGCACATTGAGGGAAAATATATTAGTTTCATTTCAGCCTATTTTCAATCAAAGAGAATGTCAGATTTGATTTTAGTGTACCCTATAGTGCTCCAGATACCAGGGCTCTAAGTAGTCCCTTGTTTTCCATCGTGGGGGTAGCTAATTTCCTGGAGTCACCTATGCTCCTGTATTTTATGTAACAAATTCTTTAGAAATACAAATGTTTCATGTATAGTATTTTTGTGTTAACAGTACGATTGTTTTTGTTTAGATAGATGGTATATTTTTTTTCTTAATTGTTTATGTTTACCATCTTATTTGTGTATAGAACAAAATTTAACGGGTCTTAACAGAAACATTTTTTCTTCTTTTTTCCCGTTTCAAAAGAAACTAATAAATAAACTTCCGTTCATTATTTATTTTAAATGTGAGGGAATCACTAACTCTAAGCCTTTTTTTCTAGCGCATTTGATGGCTGCAACTTAAAGTTTATTACAATAACGATTCTCGGCTTTTATTTAAAATAAGGAGCATGTAAGTACGATCATTATTTTATTAAAGGATTTTTTATTTATGGATATTTTTGGAATCATCCCCTAAAGCAGATAACTAGAACTTTATCAAAACTAACTGTAAATACTTTCATAGTTATATACGTGAATAAGGCTTAAAACTAGAATTTATAGAGATTCGAAATTTTCTACCACTTGAGATTTAAGAAATACATATATATATATAGTAAAACTGCATTACATAAAACAAACTCATATTTAGATGATAAGAAATACATTGTATAATTTCAAGTGTTTGAATTTTGGTCACCAGGAGAAGTACAGTGTCAATACGATTCCCAGTTTAAGTAGTTAGTACAGGATCACCTACAAAAGTTGTAATATTTTCAAAACGAGACCCAAAACTCGAGCGCTTTCGAATAGTTGACTATTCTTCTTCAGGAGAATAAAGGGTTATGTTTAATGAGTGTGATGAAATATATAGGCCTGGGTGTTCAATATGAGTTGGCCTTGAGAGCTAACCAATCATAACCTAG